CCCAGTCCTCTGAGGAGGGCAAGCACAAGGGACTGCACGAGATACTTGGGGGTTCAAGCACTGCTGATGTGGTCCCTTCCCAGCAGAGGGTCACACATGTAAGGCCACCCTTGCTTTGACTTGTGCAGGACAATGAGGGCAATGCCCAAAGGAGACAGTAGGGTAATGGCACCCTGTGTGGCACTGCAGTGACCTTGGTAAGCTTGTCCTTGACAAGTCCGAACTTTCTTAACCTCCTAGACATTCCTTAATGTCAGGAACCTAGCCTTGCACCTCTCTGTAGATTCCAGTAGTGGGCATTGTTGTAAGTATGCACTGCTAAATGTTTCCATCTGTGCATGTGCCCCACCCCCTCACGAAGAGATGTAACAATGAAACACAGAGGAGCAGGGGGCCTGGCTTTATCAGGTGAGCTTTTTGAAATGTGGGCCTGGCTTAGTCAGGTGAGCTTTATGAAATGTGGGCCTGGCTTAGTCAGGTGAACTTTATGAAATGTGGGCCTGGCTTAATCAGGTGAACTTTATGAAAGCAGAGAGATTCTCCTGCTGGCCTCAGACACAAAACAAACAGCCACTTGTGAGCTGCCTATGGAAAGGAGAGGCCTGCAGGAGTGGAGGGCCTCAGTCCTGCAACCACAAGGAACTGAATCAGCCAAAAACCAGTGAACTTGGAAAAGAACCATGAGCTTCAGATGAAAAAGCAGCCCTGATGACACCTCGATTGCCCCCTGGTGAGACCCTGAGCAGAGGACCTGGTTATCCCATGTGCAGACTCCTGACACAGGAAACTGTGAGGTGACAGGTGTGTGTTGTTGAAAGTCTCTAAATTCGGGGTAATTTGTGACACAGCAGTAGAAAACCAGTCTACTAGGAAATATATATACATCCTCAGTCCAGCACCATTTCGTATTTTTTTTTTAATGGCTAGGATGGAAAAACAAATGAGTTGCATTCCTTTTGTTGTTTACTCATGTGACTAAATGTGAACTTGCAGCCCCTTCAAGTGCTCGTCAAATGCATGAGCTATTTATTAATAATATTCCAATGGCAAGTTTCTGCAGCACAGTGGTTCTCAAAGTGTGTTCCTTAGACCAGCGTCAGCCTCTGCTGGGAACGTGTTAGAAATGCAAATTCTTGGGTTTCCACCAGACATGCTAAATCAGAAATGCCAGGGCAGGGGCCCAGCCATCTGGGTTGGGTAAAGTCCTCCCAGAGGTTCTGCTGAACTTTCAGTTTGAAAATCACTGCTCTAGCTTAATGTTTTGTATTTTTCAGGCAATCAGTCCCTTCATAATTCCCAGGCCTCTTCTCCCCAACTTTTTTGGTGGTTGTTTTACTTTGGGTTTTGCGCTAACACCCTCCAAGTCATATACTTAATAGTGTCTGCTCACACTCTATTTCTTTGTTTGAGATATGTATTTCGGTGGAATCATCATAGCTTCAATTTGCTGAGCCAGTACTGGGTACTAAGCGTAGTGCAGAACACAGAAATCTTCCTCTAAAATCAGCCTCTGGAGAAGAGGCAACCCTGGCCCCACGTTCCAGAGGCAGAATCTGGAGGAGAGCCATGTAAATAGCTTATGCACCACATCAGCCAGCAATGGGCTCGAAATTCAAAGCCAGGGTGTCTCGCTCCAAAATTGGCACTGGTAACCTCAGACTAAATAGTCTCAGAACCTTAGGCTCTGACTTTTAAAAGGCACCGTTTATTGTGCACATATTTTGCCACAAAAAGCAGCTTGATAGAGCTAAAATGAAATGCTCCCCCCTCCACCCCCGCCAGGGAGGTTAAAGGGCTTCAGATGGTCCCACCCGCCTCGTTTGTCCTGAAGTTTATTTGCCGAGCGATTTCTTTTGTTCTAGGGATGACCGTTGCCTCTTTCAGGGACAGAGTGGACCAGGCCCAAGGCTCCTCAAGGTGTTCCTTGTAGGTGTTGCTCTGGCACCATGTGAAACCTCTGGGCCCTTCCACTCTGCTCCACGCTCCCCACTCCATCTGGCTGGTCCTGGAATCAGATTCTGCCTCGGCCTTCAGGCCAGTTGGTCCCCCCTCCCACCCCAGACCCCTCCCCAAGTGCTTCCAGCTGCCTCTTCCTTTCCTTCCATGTTTGGCCTCCACAGCACTGGAGCTTCTACCAAGAAGCTCTCTGACATTGGATGTGGCACCACAGTTATACTGGGGAGTCCTTAAGCAAACCCCCGGAAAACACTGGCACTTCCCCTCCTGACTCCAGGCCTTCTTGGCTCTTCAGTGATGGGAGTTGTCACCGGTGCCTGAGCACAGCAAAAACTGAGGGTAAGGGGGTTTGATCTCCTGCCACCATCCTGCTTCCGCCTCTGAGATTCTCATCTCAGTGACTGACAGATTCCTTTTGGGTCTGAAAACATTTCCCTTTTCAGGACTCTCCTAATAAAATGGAGAAGTAAAGCCATACCTCTTGGTCATATATTTGTTTGGATATTTCTATTGCACTAAAATATACATAACATAAAATTTACCATTTTAATTGTTTTTAGGCATACAATTCAGTGGTGTTAAGTGCATGCGCAATATTGTGCATCTGTCACTAGCATCCACATCCTGAACTTGTTCGTGCCCCCAAGAGAAACTCTGTCCACGTTAAAGTGTCCCCACCGCTCTGTTCCCCAGCCCTGATAATGACTGTTCTTCCTGTCTGGTAATGACTGTCTATGAATTTGCCTAGGCTAGGTACCTCATGTAAGTAGACTCAGGTGTTAGTTCCCCTTTTGTGTCTATATCCTATTACTTTTGAAACAAGGAAGAAAGTGACAGGTGTGGGAGCAGGGGTGCATAGTGGTGAGTAGAACTAGTCAGTGGCCAGTGACAGTAGGTCCTGCAGAAAAAAAATAAAACATAAAAGTCCTGGGGTGTCAGTTATCTATTGCTCCATAACAGATGACCACAAGTTTAGTGGATTTAACCAATACATATTTTATTTAGCTCCCACTTCTATGGGTCAGGAGTCCAAGCACGGCTTAGCTGGCTCCTCTGCTCAGGGGTTCACAGTCCAGGGGGCAGCTGGGCTGAGTTCTCATCTGGAGGTTCAACAGAGGAAGGATCAGCTCCCAAGTTCCCTTAGGCTGTTGGAAGAATTCATTTCCTTGCAGCTGCAGGATGCAGGAACCCAGCTTCCTGCTGGCTACCCTCGGTTCCTCGCCATGTGGCAGCTTACTTCCTCAAGCCCACAAGGGGGTTCTCTAGAGCTTCTACCACCAACTTAATCACAGGCACGACCATCATCCCCTTTGCCAGATTCTCTTGATTAGAACTGAGTTATAGTCCTGCCCACACTCCAGGGGACAGGACCCCACCAAGACTTGAACACCAGAGGGCAGGACTCATGGGGCAGCCTAGAGTCTGTCCAGCACTCCTTCAGGGTGGGACAGATGAGGGGAGAAACAGTCACGGAAAGCCAGCAAGGGGGAAATGTTGCTCCTTCCTGAGTTTACTGTAGGTCGCCCTGAACTTGGTCAGCAGACCTCATAGATATGTAGTCAGACCTTTCACCCCAACAACATGGGGCGGTCGGAGTTTTCTGAGAGCTTGCAATTAGGACTGGAATGATCAAGGGAAGGATTCGTCTGAAGTATAACTTACTCATCTTCCTCCACCTGCAAGTTTCAGCCCCAAAATAGCTTGGAAAAAAAAAAATCCCTGGTTATTTGCATTTGTTCTCTATTTTTAACCACCTTTCTGTTTAAAACATTTAATATCTTCTGAAGGCCTGTTAGAACCCATTTGACCTGTAGCAAGATACCGTGTTTGTTTTTATAGCTATTTTCATCCGCTTAGAGAACTTTTTGTTTTCATCCGAGCTTTTAGGGGAGGTGAAGCAGGTCAGCATGTCTGGCCCATTTGTCAACTGGCTGTGCTGGGTTCTTAATAAAATGGTGCTAAATTCAGAGTTACTTATCATATGTCTTTTTTTTTTTTTGTGGCTCAGTTTTTCCATTACTTGAAGTTCCCAGATGCTAATAAAACTCTAGTGTACTATATTTGGTGGGAATGAACACATTATGCTTTTCAGAGTTGATGTTTTTACATAAATAGAACATGTTCTGCAAGAGAAAGGAAAAACCACCCTCAAAGGGCATACATCAGTTTGATTTTTTTTTTTCCCTTATTGATCTGGAGCTGTTTAAGCAGAGAAGGAGAGAGGGGGAGAAAGGTGCAGGAAAAATAACAGATTCTGCCCACCTCTTCTGTCTTCTGTCTTTTGGGCTCCACGTTCTTTTTGTATCTGTTTATTTCGCAATCACTAATCATACCTTCTCAAAAGGATCTAATGAAAAAGGTGTGTCTGGGAGACAGCAAAATGATTCTCTAAGACTCCATAAGACAATACACTTGTTACTCTTCAGCCGTAGGTGGAATGAACATTTTACCATAGAGTGACTTGATGCTCATTAAAATACCTACGGTAAAAATAATCTCCTGTGAGGGAAATCAGAAGCGATAGCAAACTTCCGTGGGTGTACAGACTGAGAGGGGAATGAGGGCCCCTTGCAGACATGGTCCACAGCTCACTGTGGCTGATGGTTATGCAGGTGGATGCACAGGTGAAATGCACACGTTGGTGTGGTACTTACTGTGGATAAGTTATACCTCAGAGAGTAAAGAAAAAACCCAACCAAGGCTAGTGTAGTAGACAGTGCAACAGAATGTGAGACCAGTGACTGAAGGGCAGCAAACCTCATTCAGACCCAGCATCTGGAATATTCTGTTTACTATCCCGCTTCTCCTCTGCATCTCCCCCCCACCCCCTCCTCATTCCTCCCACTCCAGTAGCAATCTTTGTTGCATGTTACTTTATTCCTTTTCAACCAGCTCCTGGCACAAAAATGTAGCCCGTTCAGAGTTTAGTATCAGATTACTCACATTTCCCTCTTTCAAAGGAGAGGAAGAAACACAGAATGCATCTCTCTACTTGGCCTTGCCCAGCAAGCTCTTGTCAACATCACCGACCCGCGTTTCTGGGAACAGTAAAACCAGTAGTAAGTCAGTGCAGCTTTTAGTACGACACAGGCAAAGCCTGGCATTGCGTATCATTTTTCTACCAGCTAAATTGTTATCATTTACTGCTTCTGTTAAGGAACATATATTTCTCTGCCACAAGAAGCTCGAGCAACTGGTATTGGGGTTTCAGTATCTCGGTGGCTGAGGGGACGGTGCCAGCGAACTTGGTGGGATCTGAAGCCACACAGGTGAATGGGTGTCTGCAGCAGGTCTCAGGCGTTTCTTTGCTAGCTCAGAAACGAAACTGTAGCCACACACCAAGTGGAAGAGCCTTCTGTGTTTCTGCAGGCTAGTGGGAAAATAACTCTTGGTTACTTTTTCAAATTTTAAATTTATTTTATTTTATTTTATTGTTTTCTGTATTAGTACTTCTCTGGCACTTTTTCTCTGTTTTTTTTTGTTTTGTTTTGTTTTGTTTTGTTTTTGGCTAAGATGAAATTCATATAACATAAAATTAGCCTTTTAAAGCGGACAATTCAGTGGCATTTAGTATACTCGCGGGGTTGTGTAATCTTTACCTCAATCTAGATCCAGCACATGTCCGTATTCCCAGAGGGAGCTCGGACCCCTTAGCAGTCTCCGCTCTTTCCAGCCCGCCTTAGCTCCAGCCCCAGGCAACCATCAGTCTACTTTCTGTCTCTAATGATTTACCTGTCCTGGACATTTCATATAAATGAAGTCATGTGATAGGTGACCTTTGTCTCTGGCTTCTTTCACTCAGCTTGTTTTTGAGGTTCCTCCACGTTGCGGCATGTGTTGGTAACTCATTCAATGCATTCCTAGGTGAAAATAACTAGATGCAAAATATTCATTTTAAATACTTTGGGGGTTTGTTTATCAAGCACCTGCGATCTGTAGGGCACTCGACTGTGTGTGGCACCATGTAAACATTGGCGTTCTCCCTGAAATAAGCCTGCCCTGGTCACTGCAGCACAAAAGTCCCCTGGGCTCCCGCCCCCCCATGCCACAGTCTCTGACGTGGAACTCGTACAGGTGGCTTCCCAGAGTAGCCAGATCCTTGTGACTCAGAGCCTTTCATCTGTGGGGGACTTCTCCCTCCCCTCCCACCTGTCTCCAGAGCAATGCCCCTTCCCCCAAGAAAACAACAGACTCATTTTAGAATTCTCATTTTAACTCTTGCTGTGTCAACAGACAGAACTCAGAGCCCTGTGCATATCAGGAAGAAGAGTCGGCACTCAGGAGTCGCACAGGCCGGCGGGGCAGGAGAGACACCAAGGCAGATGGAGACATTGGCCGTGAGTGACAGCCAACACCTGGTTTGTCCAGGTCGGGGGTGGGGGCTGCCCAGGAGGGAGAGGCCCCATGAGGCCCTCCAATGTGAAGTGGGCTTTGTAGGAGCAGACTTGGTGGGAAAAGGGGACATGGAGAGGGCGGGCTGAGGGCCTCGTGGCCAAAGGGCAGATTTGAGCCAAGCCTTGGCTGCAAGAATATGAGACGAGGCACAAGTCATTTTGTTCAGAGTCAAAGATTTATTTGGAAGTGAGCGCATGGTGGACGTCAGAACTGACTGGAGAGAAAGGGAACCAAAGAGAAAGTAACCCCTTTCTCTTTCCTTCCTCCAACCTCCCCACGGCCACTGTCTGACCCCAGGCTGGTCCAGCTCATGTGAGAATGACCACAGACCACCCCTGTGAGGTCTTCCTGCACCCGAGGGCTGCAAGTGCCCGCTTTCCCCATGACCCTAAACCAGGTTCCTATCATGCCCGTCCTTCCATCAACGAGTCTTGTGTGTGGAGACTGTGCTCCGGGTGCTCGCTCTCTCCTCCACACACCTCCTGTCTCCCCTCCTTCCCTGGGCAAGCTCCTCCTCACTCTGCCAGACCCATCACTCCAGCGCCCGAGCAGAGCAGCTCCCTCCTCTGCATCCTCATCAGGTGTACCACACTCTTAGAATAAGTGTCCAGTCAAAGGAGACACAGTTTCTCTGCCCAGGTACACCCTGGGCATCGCAGGTGATGCTGGGACCTCACAGACCTTCCACCTTAGCTGAAGGGAAAGAAACACCTCTGTTGGGACCCAAGGCAGAGTACCGCAAGTTACCCCCAAGCGTAGGGCCCCTAAGTGTTCCTGCTATTCAGAGAAAATAGTCACAGCTGAGTGCGATTTGAAAAGCAGGTAGGGGATGAAGTAGGTGGCAGAGGGCAGGGAGATCAGGACAGAGCAATACGAGAACAAAGACTCACGATAATTCAAGCCAGAGTTGCCTTGGGCACAGGCCTTGCGCAGACAATGGGAAGTGTCCGTGTGGGTGACCAGGCCCTGGGTGGGGGCAGAGAGGAAAGGGCAGGTGGCAGACGGGCTGCAGAGGCCAGAGGAGCTGGGATGGACAACGAAGTCAATGTCTGGGGGTCTGTGGGGAGGCAAGTAGGTGCAGATGGTTTTGAGGGTAGAATTTGTGTCACCAGGATGATATTGTCTATCTGAAAAAAATTGGAAATTCAGAAAAGGGGACAGCGTTTCCACGTTGGGTGAGGGCATGACTTGTGCCCGACCATCACTGGCCGGCGATGGGTACAGCCCCAAGCCCCTCGGGCTGAGTCCCCGTCCTTTGATGCTGAGAAAGGTGACAGTGATGTGACGCACATGGCATTACGGCCACTGCCAGGCATGAGGTGTGACACCTGTCACATTTGTCTCTGGAATGCTTAGCTCTTGGGGCTCCCAGGGATTCAAGGTTGTACATCCCTGCACACCCCAGATGGTGCATGCTTCTATGAACAGGCTAAATAACGCATTAGCCTCAACCGGACCATTCCTCACAGTGGACACAGTGTCCCATCCCTGGCCCCGGTTTTGGTAGTTCAGTGAAGGGATAAACGTGTTCTGAGAACTGCTGGGCTGTTGAGCAGGGCCCCCCGCATCACAGGATGTCTCCTTCCGGCCGTGGCACTTGGGTGAGAGACCTGAGTCCTAAAATCCACGGCCCTGCCCACCCTCTCCAACACAAGGACCGGAAAGGATCTCTTTACTGTTCTTGTTCTTGGGGATGGGTGGGGCATGGGTGATTACTGATGGACAGTGAACATAAACCAAAGTTTCTCTGGAACCTCCCAGAAAACCAGCCAGCAAATTAAACCTGGTTAAAGGTGTGGACGAGGTGGAGAGAAAGGTCCCCTGTTGTAAAACAGGTTTGTGTTGCTTTGGAGTTTTTTCCGGCCAGCACTGAAATCTGGATTGTCCAATTTGCCAGCCTCAAGATTTTGGTGAGCATAGTTTCCTCAGTTACCTGAAATGGTGTTCTTACGAAGTCACAAGAGACATCCTTTGTTTTTCAATTTGAGGATTTCTACATTTCAGGGAATGAAATTATAACTGAGGCGATTTCAAAAAGAAAGGAATACAGAATTGCAAGTTTTTAGAACGCCCACTAGGCAAAAATCCAGATTTAGAAAATGAGATAAATTCTTATGAGATAATGAACCTTCACACACACACAATCACTCATTTCTACCATTTATCACTCAACTTTTATTTAAGTTTGTCTCTTACTAGAGTAGAAGCTTCTAGAAGGTAGGGCTATGTCTTAGTGCGTCATTTTTCCCTGTGCAGATCTATAAAAGGCGCTCAAGATTTATTTGAACGCAGTTAAATTTACATTACTAAAATGGTTTTTGTTTCAGTTTGTGTATTTATGCTAGAGGACCCTTTGAATTGCTGTTTTAGGAACAGTTCGTTGCTTAGGAAGTCACAATCGTGTTAAGTGCAGTAATTCCTAAAAGCATCCAGATCCAGTAATACGTAATAACTAATTCCATTTGAAAGGAAAGTTGGGTCTTTTTTTCATATATTGCAGTTCTCAGTGATTTAGTACAAATGTGTCCTGACACATATTCTTCCTGCCTTTTAATTTATCCCATTGCTGTTTTCTTCCCAAAGTGTTTTCTGTACTTTACATCCAGACTCACGCATGTAACTCAGTTCCTGTCGTAGTTATGCAACCTCTGAAATTTGCACATAGGTTTCTGAAAATCTGTTTTTTTCACGCCAACCAAACTGACAGTTGAAAGATCCTAAAGTGTTTAGACCTCGATGATTTTTTGACGTTGTAGCAGAAAGATCTCCTGAAGGGTAGAAAACCTTTACCTTGTCCACTTGCATAGACTCTGACAGAATGCATACTTCAGAGGAGATAAGCGGAAATTAGCATATGCATATTTTTGAGCTAAATTAGTTTTAAGTATAATAGCTAATGCAGCTGTTGCAGCTGCCCAGCGACCAAAGTAGCAAGGTGTTACTGTAACTGCTGTTGTTATTGTCCCCTCCCTGCTTACAAGGGAAAATCTCTGCGCTCCAAGGGCGAGGCAAGACCCGTCCTGTCACCGGGCTGCCTGTCCAGCGGCCAGGCCGGGTGTCCAGCCTTCAGTCTCTGGGGGCTGGGGTAAAATACTAAGCCTGGACCATTCACAAGCCTGAAAATGCTTTATTGAGTGTGCTTACGTAGAAACCAGTTCATGAGAACTCAGTTCAAAATAAAACCCTTGGAATCCACACAGCTAAATTAAACATCACCTTTGTGGGCAGACGAATCTTGCGTGGTTCCTGGAGGCAGAAGTGGGCAGTGTTGGAGTCCGGGGCCTCCCTGGCAGCTGGCCCCCAGGGTCAGAGTCAGTGTTTAGTCCCACTTGTTGTATAAGATATATGGTGTATATTATATATGTGTACGTGTGTATGTATAGGTACACACACAAAGATGTACCACCCCCGTGACGCACACACTCCTGCCTGAACTGGCCACGGGGGTTTATGTGGGCCCCGCCTTGGAAGCCCTTCACATCCTTCTTTTTTTCGTCCAAATCCTGAAGGGATGAGAGTTGGCATGAAACAGACAGATGTCACCAGAGTCATTTCACTTTGTTCGATATCCTCTTTCCATCAGTGGTTTCTAATCCTCAGCTCCTGCTTCTGAACCTGTGGCTTCTGCCCCCCCCAAGTTCAGTGTTTTTCTGGAGCTGGGGTCCCACTGTGCGGTGGGCACCCACTCCCCATCCCTCCTCTGCCAGGCGCTCCCCACCTCACAGGATGACAGAGAAAGAGGAGGTGTGTGGTGCAGGGTGTCCTGAGCTGTCCTCACACCTAGGGCGCCCGCAGAGGGAGGGGTGCGACAGGAGGGCAGCCCTGGGGTGTGCAGCACAGACAGCGTCCCCTCCTTCTGAGTACAGTGCCCTCGCGCCTGGGCCTGGGTCCCTGAATTCCCTGCTGGCTGTGCTCATTCTACTGGGGCCTCAACCCAAGGCTGCCCCCACCACACGTCCCTCCCTGCTCTCGGCCTGAAACTATTTCTGGAGTCTTTGCTGCCCTTCCTGGTGAAACACATTTTCCTCCTCCAGTGTCTTGGACAAAGTGACTGAATAACCTCCTTCTGATATCGTGGTGATGTAGCCTGTGCAGCACCAGGGGTGCTGAGAAATTTATCATTGGCTCTATAAAATGCTGAAGCAGGAGCCTTGGACCATGGCTGGCAGCCAGACTCACCCAGGGGTCAAGTCAGCCTGTCCACCGGGCCCAGGTGCCTGCTGAGGACCGGCCTGGCCGGGCTTGAGAGCCGTCGTGGAGCCAGCCCCGAGGGAGGCTACTGCTGAGAACTGTGCCGCCCAGGATCCCCCGCACCTGTGGTGGGCGCCCCTGTGGAACGTGAACACACCCTGGCTTGGGAGTGGAGTCCTGGCCAGTCTGGGATTCGTATCTTCCCACTCCTGCTCCTGGCCGGTTGGGTATACAATAGTTGTTACAACCAAAATTGAAGCTCATTGGTGGAGTCAGAGAGAGAGAGAGAGAGAGAGATGAAGAAGGAGGGAGACAAAAGAACAGACAGAGAGGAGGGAGACTTGGCAGCCATCTTGAGCTGGTGTCCCAGCCCCGCCGGAGCATCCCTCGGCCCCTCTGAGCGCAGCCGGGGTCGGCTGGACCCTGTGCTGGAAGACCTGCCCCACTAGGAGTTCACACGCACCCACTGAACCTCCCTCCTTCCTGCAAGGGGAGAGACGCTTCGGAACCCTGGTCCCTAACAGCTGATGCTGTGCGGCCGAGTCCCTCCTGTAAATAATGAAATTGGCTCTCGGAGGCTGATCAGACCCAGGTCAGGTGCCTTTGGCCGGGCTGAAATACTAGCTCCCCAAACTTGTCACTTCCCAGCACAGCTCTGGATGCAGGCTGGTCAGGAGGGAAGAGGCCAATCTCCCTTTCTCTTTGTACCCTTCCCTCACGTTTTTTGTTGTTGTTTATGACGGCTTTATTGAGGTATCATTCACGTACCATTGAGTTTATCCTTTCAAAGTGTGCAACTCAGTGGTTCCTCATATATTCATGGAGTTGTGCAACCACTCTCTGGTCCCAGAATATTTTCCTCATTTCAAAAGGAAACTCTGAGAACAAAAACACACATATACAGAACAAAACAAAACAAATCGCTATGTTGTATACCTGAAACTAACACAATATTATAAATCAACTATACAGCGATTGAAAACAAAAAAGACACTCTGTGCCCCTTAGCAGTCACTCCACGTTCCCCCAGCCCCCAGCCCCTGGCAACCACTAATCTGCTTTCTGTCGCTACGATTTGCCTGTTCCGGACAGTCCATATGTTACAGTCTGGATTGTGTCCCTCAAAATTCATACATTGAAGTCTTAATTCCTGGCATCTCAGAATGTAATCAGATTTGAAGATAAGGCCCTTAAAGAGGTGATTAAGATAAAATGAGTACTACTCAGCCATAAAAAAAAAGAATAAAATAATGCCATTTGCAGCAACCTGGATGGACCTGGAGATCGTCATTCTAAGTGAAGTAAGCCAGAAAGAGAAAGAAAAATACCATATGATATCACTCATATGTGGAATAAACAAAAAGATACAAATGAACTTATTTACAAAACACAAGCAGACTCACAGACATAGGAAAGAAACTTGTGGTTACTAGGGGAGAAAGAGGGTAGGAAGGGATAAATTAGGAGTTCAAGATTAGTAGATACTAACTACTATATATTAGATAGATAAACAGGGAAGTCCTACTGTATAGGACAGGGAACTATATTCAATATCTTGTAATAACCTATAACGGAAAAGAATCTGAAAAAGAATATATGTATGTACATGTATAACTGGAGCTCTGTGCTGTTCACCAGAAATTGACACAACATTGTAAACTGACTGCTGCAATTAAAAAAAACAACAAAACATGACCAAAATAGTTCAATGCAGGAATGCAAAGATAATGAAATATTAGGAAACCTAGTTATATACTAACTGAATGAATAAGCGAATAAAAATAACTTTCATAGATGTTAAAAAAAAAAAGATAAAATGAGGTCACTAGGATGGGCCTTAATCCAATAGGACTGGCGTCCTTGTAAGAAGAGGAGATTAGAACAGAGACACACAGAGGGACGACCACGTGAGGACACAGGGAGAAGACGGCCGTCTACTTGTGAAGAGAAGAGGCGCCAGGAGAAAACCAACCCTGCCAGCGTCTTGATGTGGGACTTCCAGCCTCCAGGACTGTGAGACAATAAATTTCTGTTGTTTTAGCACCCCTACTCCGTGATACTTTGTTATGGCGGCCCTGGCAAGTTCATAAACCATATGAATGGAATCATGCATGTGGTTTCTCGGTGTGGCCTGCCCTCACTTCCTGACTGGGTGACACCCCTCCCTCACCCTCTTCCTTTTTTCCCCTCTCTTGGGGTCTCATCAACTTTCTTCTTTGGAAAAGCTCTGGTTCCTGGCCACTACTGTCAGCCAGTCTCAGTGGTCATTCATACTCTGGGGCAGCTGTAGAAAACACCTGAAATATTGTTGAGGCAGAACTAAGATGATAATTTGATTTTTAAGATGTAAGGTTATATGTGACCTGAACCTAGTGGCTCAGAAATATGTTGCCGTGTATAACTGAAGCATTATGCTGTTCACCAGAAATTGACACAACATTGTAAACTGACTGCTGCAATTAAAAAAAAAACAATAAAACATGACCAAAATAGTTCAATGCAGGAATGCAAAGGTAATGAAATATCAGGAAACCTAGTGAAAGCATTTCCCTACCACTTTCATTTTTCAGCTTTGAAGATTATTTATTTCTAGTTCTCTTTATAAATGGCTTAGTGTTTTCATCCCCAATATTTTAGATTATATTCAAGGCATAAACATTTTCATGCAATTTACTGTTGCAAATAAAAAAGATATTCTGCTTTGTAATCTATGTGTATGTATCCGATAAATTCAAAGCAATTCTCCAATCCTGATGTAGCAGTTGGAGTTCAACCAGAGAAACAGAACCAGTGGAAGACACATGCTAAGAGATCTGCTGCAAGGATTGGCTTATGCCACTGAAGGGGCGGGCGAGGCAAGCCTGAAATTTGTAGGGCATGCAATTAGGAAGGGCAGCCTAGAGTTTTCTTGGGAACGGACTGAGACTGCTGTCCCCAAAGGAATTTTCTTCTTTTACATAGAAACTTCAGCCCACCTCAGAAGGCCTTGTACCTGATCACATGAAGTGCACCCAGACTATCCAGGATAATCTCCCTTGTTTAAAGTCAAGTGATTATGGATCTTAATCACATATGTAAAATACCTCCACAGGAAGACCTCGATTAGTGTTACTGGTGGGTTAAATTGTGTCTCCTCCAAAAAAGATATGTTCAAATCCTAATCCCAGGTACCTGTGAAAGTGATCTTATCTGGAAATAGGGTCTTTGCAGATGGAATCAAGTTAAGACGAGGTCATACTGGATTAGGGTAGGTCCTAAATCCAATGACTGATGTTCTTATAAGAGAAAGAAGAAGGAGATTTGGATGCAGAACACAGACACAAGCTGTGTGAAGATGGAGGCAGACTGGAGTAACGCAGCTCCAAGCTAAAGGATCACTGAGGATCATCAGCTGCTGCCACCAATAGCTGAAAGAGACAAGGAAGGATTTCTCCCAAGAGCCTTCCATGGGAACATGGTCCTCCCAATACCTTGAGTTTCGACTTCTGACCTCCAGAACTGTGAAAAAGAACAGCTGTATTGTTTTAAGCCACCCTGTGAATGGTACTTTGTTACAGCAGCCCCTAGGAAACAGGCACAGTGTCTGACTGAACAGCTGCCAACGGTGTGATGTGTGACATTGACACATCAAAAGACCATGACACCTGCTTTCCTTTCTCATCCCTCTATCCTGACCCTCCTCTCCTCCGCCACCGAGCTCTTATCCTCGTTGGTGGAAAAGGCAAGGGAAAACAAATGAACAAATAAGCATCAACAGTTTGGCTCTTAAAAGAGAGACTGATGGAGGGGGAGGGAGAGGGTCCACATCCCGACAGAACCCCAAGTGCACAGACGGGCCTGGGGTAATGGGAGGAGGAATCGTTCGCCAAAGAAACAGGGAGTACAGGTGGCGGGAGCCAACTGGGAGCACTTAGGGAACAGCAGGGGCTGGGGTGGTGCGGGTGGCCAGTAGGTGCCGGGAAATCTCCCGCCGCCGACTACTTTTCATTTCTCTTTACTTACACAAGAGCTGCGTGCGTGTATACATCCTCTGTCTGTATCGCTGGAAAGTTTTATATAAAATTGTGTTCTTGGCTCCTCCTCGTAGGCCACTGCTATTCTCAAGTCCTTTCATTTTCAGTTTCTTCCAAATAGGATTGTGTCTGTGTGTACAAATAGAAGTGTACAAATAGAAGTGTTTTATGTTTAAAAATAGCTGTATCTCTGAAGGCAACTGAAATGGAGCATTCTAATTAGTTTAAGCAAAGTTTTTTAGTTTTAGAGTTGTTGTAGAGTTACCTAAAGTTAGGGCTGAGTCCTGACGACCCCTCACCCAGTTTTCCCCACATTAACGCCTTTGTCACAACAAATTGACCTTGGTCCAAAACTCTGAACTAGACTGCAGACCGTATTTGGATTTCCCCAGTTTTTCCACGAATGTCCTTTTCTGTCCCAGCACAGAATTTAGTCATTATGCCTCCTTAGGCGCCTCCGAGCTGTGACAGGGTCTCTCTCCTTCCTTGTTTTTGAGGGCCTTGACAGTTTTGAGGAATGCTTGTTAGGTATTTTGTAGAATGTCCCTCAATTTGGGTTTATCTATTGTTTTTCTCATGATTAGACTGAGCGTATGGGTTTTGGACATGCTTAAATTTACATTTCTTTGTGACAATGTTTCAACAAACATGAGTATATCTTAAAATCAGAATCATATATTTAAACTGGAAATCATGTATTCAGCAGCTATAATCATTTGTATAGAATCGTTTATTTCGTAGTTGTAATGTCTATCTGTGTCCTCTTTATATAAAAATACTGAAAGCTAGGGGACATGCAGCCCCTATTTTGTAGCCTTAACTCATAGGTGAAACCTTTTCATTTTCAAGTTCTACCATTCTGGGAAGAACTTTAATATTTAAAAATTTAAACCACTTTGGAATTATCCAGTCATTTGAAAAAGTTATTTTAGTCAGCCAAGGGGATCTGTGCAAAGGAAAACTACCCCTTTTGGAGCATATTTCTTGTTTTCCCATTTCAGAAATCATCCCTTACTTCAGTGCTCCTAGCCATTGCTCAGACCTCTCCTTGGAAACCCTCTGTCTGCTGAAGTCAGCCCCACACCTGAGGATTAGACGGCGGTGTGTTGCTCCAGGCTTCTGTGGGTGGGGAGAGTTTTGTCCAAAACAGTTATTTCTAGAAATGTGACCGATTCTTACTAGTACCTGAAAAATACATTAAAATGTTCTTTCCCTTCCTCCCTCCCTCAGGGACCTTTTAAGAGTTGTATATGACATATATCTGATCCTAGTAAGTGGCTTTGATCTAGTGAAAATAACAGAGTTCCTCACACAGGTACCGGAGATAAGCCCTGTGTTCGAATTCCTTTGAGTTTTATGATGCTTTCCTCAAATCTGCTGGGTTTTCTTTTCTTTCCTTATTTTTTGGGGGAAGTCAAATTTACTGAGGTGTAATTTACATACAGTAAACTCCACCCTTTTAAAATACAGTCCTATGAGTTCTGACCAACATTTACAGTTGTGTAACCAGCACCCAAATCAAGATACAAAACAGCTGGATCTCTCCCAAAAATGTCCCCATGGGCCTCTGTTGTCCACTCTTTCTTGACGCCCAGTCTTGGCATCCAACAATCTGTTTTTGCTCCCAGTGGTGTTGCATCTTCTAGAACACCGTATAGCTGGAATCACAGAGAATGTTGCCCTTGGAGTCTGGCTTCTTTCACTTACCAGTTTACAACTAAGATTCATCCACGTCATGGCACAGGGCAAAGCTGGTCCTTTCCAGGGTTCCCTAGTGCTCCACCGCGTGGATATACCGCAGTGAGGTTATCCCTTCATCTGGGTTGTTTCCAGGTTTTGGTGATTCTAAGCCAAGCTACGCCTGTACAGATTTTCGAGTGACCCTACCTTTTCATTTCTCCTAGGTGGCTAAATAGGAGGCGTGGGCTGGGGTGTCTGTGCACATGACATATATCTGATCATAGCAGGTGACTGTTCATTTTGTAAAAACAACATCAAAAAGGCCTTATGACAAAGGCCCCAGAGAAAAATGCAAACGTTCCATCCACCTCCACGTAGTTCCACCTGTGCTTTTCTTGAACCTACTGGATTTTCTTTGTCAGTGTGGTGTCAAGCTTGACTATGTGGGAGATGATTTTTGTGCTGCAACTATTTATAAAATCATCCTCTCTCTGGGCTTGTTCTCTACAGAGAGTTTTAAACACTAAATGCAGAAGTGGAAACAAAGGGAGGGAAAAAAACCCCACATAATGTCTTATAATGAAATATGGTTACCAGAAGAGAGGGAGGAGGAACGGCCTTTTGAAAATTATAATCTCCTGTTATTTTGTAACTGTGACAGCCAGGTATTGTTTGGGGAAAATCAGAACTCTTGCCCATCACGTGTACTTCGAGTTAAACCCAGGCAGTGTTTTCTGTCAGTGTTCTGGGTGTTGCTGGGTAGGTGGGCTCTGAAATTATTCACTGATTGAAAGGCAATTCGGTTTGTGTTAGAAAGTCCATAAGTTTTGGAATCTGAGGGGCTGGACTACTGTGGAAAGCAGAATCTGGTTCCCTAAAGATATCTACCCTTGAGTGCCCTGCACCCTGTGGCAATGCCACCTTCCATGGCAAAGGGACTTTGCAGATGTGACTAGATTTAGAACCTTGCAATGGAAAGTTTATATTAGATTATACAGTCTGGCCTAATCTAGTCACCAGGATCTTTGAAACTGGAAGAGGCAGACAAAGAACAGGCTGGGGATATAATGTAACTTGAGAAGGACAAGACCAGAAGGCGGTCACGTGCCAGCGCTTTTGGGCTCTAGACACTGGACAAGGCAAGGAAACAGACTCTGGAGCCTCTGAAGGAACTAGTCCTGCCAACACCTCAGTATTAGCCCACTGAGACCCCCTTAGTGGGGGGGCCTCCAGAATGGTCAGGTAATAAGTTGGCTTTAAGTCACTAAGTGTGTGATTAATTTGTTACAGCAGCAAGAGGAAACTGAGGCAGCAGCCACTGTCCTCTGAGAGACTCAACTTGCCTCCCCTGTCAAATTAAAATTATCATAATTCTATCTCCCCAGCCACATCATAAATGCTGTGACAAATGGGTGAGGTTGTCTCTGAAAATGTTTAGGAAACTATAAGCAAACTTGGTCAGACAGGGCAACATCTAATTCCTGTCACCTTGGTTCTCCCTTTGCTCCCCGGCATCTGCTCCTTTCAAGGTACATTTGATTTCATGAGGCCCTGGCGTGGCCTCTGCCCTCTCTGAGTGGGTGGCTCTCCCCAGGCACTCCTGCTGTTCTGGAATCCATCCTCATCCACAAACAGGATGGCCTTGGCTCCTAAAGACACTCTGGGCTGCTTTTCCACCATTTTCCTCCCCCTCTTTCCTCAAACATGAAAAAAAAATTTTTTTGAAAACACATTGTAATAAAGAGAAAATTTCCTAGGAAGAGGTTAAGTTATGTGAGGAGCCTTGCGTCCTTCAGTCCCCTAGAAACAAGGGTCAGCATATGTTCTGTGACAGGCCAGATGGTAAATGTGTATTTGCTCTTGGTGGGCCACTTCCCTCTGCCGCCACAGTGCTGCAAGCACGGAGGGAATGGGGCTGCAAAGCGATGGGCTTGTTTGTGTTGCAATAAAACTTTATTTATGAATGCTGAAATTCATATTTTACATAATTTCCATGTCACAAAGTACCATTATTCTTTTGATCCCCACTCCTGTCTTTTGAAAGTGTGTCCTCAGCTTGTGGGCTGTGCAAAAACAGTTATGAGAGCTGTCCTCTGCTGACCCCCATCCACGCACAGACGCTCCATCAAGGCGGGGAATTTTGCTTGTCTCCTTAATTGCTCCTTCCTAGAACCTGTCTGTATATAACATTTTGATATTTTGTTCATCGTGGAGGCATTTTTGGGCATCAATTTAGAGGGGTTTTTTTCATTAAAAAAATTTAAAGTGGCAGTTTCTTTTATTTGTTTGTTTGTTTATAGGGGGTTAGGCTTATTTATTTATGTTTAATGAAAGTACTGGGGATTGAACCCAGGACCTCGTGAATGCTAAGCATGTGCTCTACCACTGAGCTGTATCCTCCCCCCAAGAGTTTTAAAGTATGGTGTTTTAATATTAGTTATCTTGATGAGTAAGTTTTTGGCAGCCGTTACAGTCACCCCGCCCAGGGGTCCCAACTCATGAGCCATGGGAGGGGTCCGCGGTGGCGGCAAGAGCGAGTCTGGGTGGGCAGAAGGGCAGTAGAGAAGCATGAACTCCAGCTGGCACTTCATCCCTAGGCAGGAGGGTCCCAGGGATGACTTCAGGGTGTCTGTGAACTTGCATGGGGAGAAAATTCATAGCTGACCCAAACTAAGCATTTATGACAACTCCAGCTATAGAGGACAGTAGCATGAACAGTATCTGTGATTTGTTACCAATTTGTCACCAATAGAAGGCCGATGTAGTCTCAAAGCAGGATATGGTTGAAGCCAACTTGTTTACACCCATCACTCCTTTGAAATGACAGAAGGTATTAGAACCACCTCTGGAGCTTACCATTGGAAATATTGAAGAAGAAGCACATGTATTATGACATGAGAATTTTTTAAAATTTGTCAACTATATTTTAACAGAATCAACTTTCTTTGCAGCCTCATATATATTATTTTATGTATTTGTGCATCATTTTATGCATTTGGAATCAATAATTACTAAATTGCCCAAGAAGGTCTAGGGCATGGAAATGGTTACATCCTTCCTCAGTTCTTTAAGCTTTTGGGTCCAGTCTTGTTCCCTGAACATTGGAGATAAAAAACCCTGCCCTCCAGAATTCCTGGGAGGATTGAATTCAATACTGTGCATGAACACCCTCATGCCAAATGCAAGGTGTTTTCACTATTCAAAGAATGTGAACTGAATGTGACATTTCAAATGGAAAAAAAAAAAAAAGAACAAAAAACTTACATGCTTTAGTCCGCTCTGGCTGCCACAACAAAGCACTGCAGGCTTGATAGTTTAAACAACAGAAATTTATTTTCTCATAGTCCTGGAGGCTGGAAGTTGGAGGTCAAAGTGTTGACAGGGCTGGTTTCTCTCCAGTCCCCTCTCCTTGGCTTGTGGACAGCCATCTCCTTGAGTCTTCCCTCTGTGCATGCCTGTGTCCTAATCTCTTCTTCTTATAAGGACACCAGTCAGATTGGGTCACCTGATGACTGCATTTAATTTATCTGTTACTTTAAATTTATCTGTCTCTCCAAGTAACAGTCACCTACTGAGGTACTGGGGGTCAGGACTTCAACATATGAATTCAGGGGGCCGGGTACACATTTCATCCCATACACCATCCTTTAAAAAAAGACTGGGTGCCTACCCAGGCCCAAGGGAGCAGAAGGGGCCATTACCCACTTCCCCTCACATCTATGGCAGGTGTTGGACCTTCCTGGCCTCCTGCCCCGTTTACTTCTCTTAAGTATGTCCATGTGCTACCACCTTGCACAACCAGCTCCCTTTGTGGTTTCGGTTCCAGTCTCCCTAAGGAAATGAGAAGCAAGCCCTGAGAACAAAGCATGGCCAGAGGTTTGTAAGTGAAGTTGGCAAACACACCCCTCCTCTTTGTTTCATGAGGGAAGCTCACAGTGGTGGCTTCCTCAAAGCTGAGACATGCTCTCCGCACATCACGAGAGGTCACTGTGGCATCTGGCACGTCAATCCTGGGATCTCAGGCCTCTCTGAGTAGGCTGGTCATGCAAGCAAATATCGGCCTTTGTGTAGGAACCTTTGAGAATCAGCTGGGCCTGGGTGAAATTAGATATTGGATTCAATGAAAACTGGGCAATAATTCTCATGAGACGTTTAATGCCTTTTCCTACTGTCTTTAAAAAGCAAATAGATTATTTTTTGAAGAACAGTTTTAGACGTACAGAACAATTCAGCACATAGCACAGGGAGTTCCCATTTGTGCTCCTGGCACCCAGTTTTCAGTGTTAACATCTTTCCTGTAAGGGTGGTACATTTGTTACAATGCTTGAATCAATATTGATAAAATTCACAGTTTACATTGGGGTTCACTCTTGGTGTTGTACAATACAGTTCTGCCTGTTTGGACAAATGCAAAATGTCATGTATCCACCATTACATCTCATACAGAAGAATTTCACTCCCCTGAAGACCCCTCGTGCTCCTCCATTCATCCGTCTCCCATCCCCAGAACCCCTGCAACCACGATCTGTTCAGTTTTGCCTTTTCTAGAATGTCATAGAGTTGGCCTCATACTGTATGTACCCTTTTCAGATGGGCTTCTGTCACTTAGGGATATGCATTTAAGGTTCCTCCATGTCTTTTCAGGGCTTGAGAGTTCATTTCTTTTTGTTGCTGAATAATACTCTGTTGTATGGATGGGCCATAGTTTACTTATCCTTCCACCTACCGAAGAACATCTCGGTTGCCTTCAGTGTGTGGTGATTATGAGTAAAGCTCTAAACATTCCTGTATAGGTTTCTGTATAGACATAGGTCTTCAGCTTAATTAAGTAAACTACCTAGGAGCATAGTTGCTAGATTGTATGGTAAGACTATGTTTAGGTTTGTAAGAAATTGCCAAATTGTCTTCCAAAGTGGTCTTAACCTTTTGCAGTCCCACCAGCAGTGTGTGAAGAGAATTCCTGTTGCTTTGTGTCCTGTTAGCATGTGATCTTCTTCTTCTTCTTCTTCTTCTTCTTTTTTTTTTTGATCATTTTAATAAATGTATAGTGGCATTTTGTCTTAATGTGCAATTTCTTGGTGATATAGACAGTCAGCATCTTTTCATATACTTATTTGCCATTTTCTATCTCTGGTGAGATTTTCTTTTTCCAGATCCATTTTTGTTTCAGATTGTTTTCTTGTTACTGAGTTTTGAGAGTTCTTTGCATATTTTGGATACATCCCTTCATCAAATATGGATTTTGCGAATATTATCTCCCAGTCTGTAGCTT